TTCATGACTGTTGATGACGTTTTGAATGCCATGCAATCCTATATCAAGAGTCTACACAATGAACCCTTCGCTGACGGGACCTTCTGAGTTGGACCCTTGGATGGACGTCAAGAAGCAGTCCAAATTCAGTAACCCTTCAAGCCAGGTTTGATGTTTGACCTGGATGTGCCTAGTGCTGCCACCTCATGCAAAGATCCTACCTGAATCTCGAATGCTGAGTCCAGAATTGTTGTGTCCATAATGACATATGTTGATTTGTATAAAGGAGGTTCTTGTCCTGTAGTGCCTAATCAAGTATGCTGCTGGAAGCACAGACTGGCGTGATTTCTCTGACAATGATTTTCATGATTGTAGTGGCATAGCTAGAAAATTGGTGCCTCCCTATTATTATATATAGCCATCATTTGACCTCCTTCTATCTGGAGGTTTGGGGAGGGGGATGGTGAAAAATGGCCCACCCCTAGCTGTACCACTTGTTTGGAGACAGGAGACAGACAGCAGCTGGTCTTAGATTATAGGTACTATAATCATGAATGCAAGTGGATTGAGAGTGATCCCGAAGTCCTGCTAAGTGTTGTAGATGAACTGTTGAACTGAACCGGTTCAAAGTCTCCTGATTCCAGCTGTTTAAGCTGTCGGAAATGTGCCAGGATTTTGAGAAATAGGATAGCCTGCATGTGAGCGACACGAGAGATGGACCTAAAGCGGATAATGAAAGTGGCCTTGGCTTTTGGCTATATTCGCTACAAGGTGATGGGATGCAAGCTGAGCTCCTTCTGCCGAGGTATGGAGAATGTCCCACTTTTATTCAGCGGCTACATCCTGGGCGGTGCTTGCTTCCACAGGCTGGAGTCTCAGGTTTATCAGGCCGTGACAGGGGTGAGTCGCTGGGCTTGTTCAAGGGGGACATGTAGGTCACCTAAGAGATCCTTGGGTAAACCAGGCTCAGGAGTGGGAGGTGCTAAGTGTCTGCTTCCTGTGATAAGGTGTACTCAGGAGGCAGCGATGGGAAGGTGCAGCCTTTGTTCAGCCAGGGACAAATGTGTGGAGCACCACCTTCCGGATGTTGTTTATACTGCGTTAGCGGACCAAGAGGTGAGCCGCAAATAGGAAGGACTCAGCTCTGAGTGGCAAGATGTGCCTGCTGTCTGGTAGTACGTTTGCTGGATGAAGTATGGTCCAGCCTGACTAATGTGCTATATGTGCAGGTTAGGGCTAGGGCTGCTAGAATAAGCATTCTCAGAAAATCGAAAAGCCAGATTTAGAAGAATGTGATTTGATATTAATATCATTATGATTATATATTATCATTGATATTCTTATTGCAATTAACATTCTTATTACTGATATTCTTATTATGGTCATTATTGTTGTTACTGTATTATTATCTTGTGTTAATAGTAATAGTTGGGTAAAACAATAATCAGTAATAATGAAGATAAGTATTATTTTATTGTGATTTGCATTATTTACCGTGTTACCAATATTATTATTGTTATGGTTGTGTGCGTCATGTCCAAGGTGATGTGAAGTGATGGTTCCATTATACGTTATTCATTCTCTCCACCATGAGGACTTCAGCTGATGTCTCCTTATTGCCACACTCGTCGTATGCCCTAAGCTAAACTATAGAGTAGAGGGAGGGTAATTCACTTCCCATCTAGCAAGTTAAGCAGGCTGTGGATCTCTTGGGGAGGGTGTGGATGGGAAACATAGGAATTCCACTATACCTGCAGCCTAGTGGACACCGACACGTGTGAGGCATGTAGATCAAAACCCTTGGGAAACTTACATGTAGTTATTGGGTCTTGTGGCTTACTGGGGGGGTGATGCTGGGGAGGTTGGCATAGGTAGCACTTGTACTGTGTTTATGATCAGGGTTTAAACTCCTCTGAGTTAACGGAATCTTTGCATCAGGATGGTCAATTGCCACTTCTAGGATGGAAACTGAATCATCTGCAAAAGGAAGTAGCCAGGAAAGGAAAACAGGTGGCTTGCCTCACCATGGACTCTGGAGTACTCCAATTTGCCAAGTCGCATTAGAGAAGAAAAGGATAAAGTGTGAGCAAAATAGTTGAAGTATTGTACATGAGTTTTAAAAATTCCCTACATATGTAAGCACAAGTAATAAGTGGCACTTGATTAGATAAAAAAAAAGAGAATGAATCACAATACCCCACAATCATTGCTGAGTTGCCTTTTTTTCTTTTCTGAAATTGGATGTCTCCTCCAGCACACTTCGTGCTTCATCGGTAAGGGGACTCCAGTCGATAAGTGCATAATGGCATTAAGACTTTAAGTACTCGTATGGCTTTATGTCTCTTATTGGTATGTATGCTTGAAGAGTTGTTCTATGCCAAACTTGCTGCTGTGACATCTAGAAATGCATTATACTAGGTGATTTCACTTTGGTATCCAGTTGTAATCAATTGCGTCAGTCACACAGAAGCTGAGAGCAGTAGTAGTTATTGGAGAAGGATTTGCAGGATGTTCCCCAATG